ACACACACACACACACACACACACACACACACACACACACACACACACACACACACACACACACACACACACACACACACACACACACACACACACACACACACACCCACGCACACACACACACACACACACACACACACACACACACACACACACACACACACACACACACACACACACACACACACACACACACACACACACACACACACACACACACACACACACACACACACACACACACACACACACACACACACACACACACACACACACACACACACACACACACACACACACACACACACACACACACACACACACACACACACACACACACACACACACACACACACACACACACACACACACACACACACACACACACACACACACACACACAAGCAAACACATGCACCCGCGGTTCTTTGGGGTACCGGAGCTGGTCGTACTCAATAGGGATTTGAACAAGGACTGTATGTGTTACTTCTGTACAAGGGAACCTTTACCCAGCAAGGGCTCGCACAAGCAGTCTTGACCATGGCGCGCTTGGGGATGCGATAACTATCAACAGTATCACAATGCAACGCTTTTGCTCGCATGCAGCACTTTCGCGCTTGGCACAGGATGGGCCAAGTATTGCGGTGTTGAAGTTCATGGAGCGCACCAACTATGAGGCCTGTCCATATGCATATCTATGTATATTATACAATATATATCTCTTGCATGCATTGCAGTGACAGAACACAGTGAGCAGATGCTAAGACGCGATGTCCGAAGGCTCCAGACACCTGGCAAGGCATTCGGGATCTTGGTGCGCAGCCTTGGTGAATGATCATTGCGGGCTTTGTCTCAACTTGAGCCTGTGAAGGTCATGCTTCGTTATCCTGACGCACTTGGCTGCGCTGTTTTTTCATGACAAAACTGGATCCCCCAGTCTCTTCCAGGGGTGTTTGCGTGGCCTGCCAACCTAGTGCAGATGGTGCACTTCTGATTATAGTCGTCGCTGTTGAGCTTCGAACTGGCTCACGCAACATCTTTCCCAGGCGTTTCACTCCTGATAGTGAGGTCAGCGTGCTGCCTGCACCACTGCAAAATGCAGCACAGTGCAGAGCGCAGCAAATGATTTAATCTGATGGCCTTGCAGAGGAACCATCCCATCGCCACCTCCAGCCGCAAAGTTCAGAGAGACTGCGGAGCGGCGATGCTTGGGTCCAGTAAGCTGTCATCCGTCAGTCACAACTACTTCCAAACCAGACAGACAACAACTAGCACGAAACACCGGCCACACATAAGAATGTCCATTCGTCTGTCCATATCTCTATTCATCACTCCACATCCATTTGTGGTGCTGTTGTCTGTGCGCCACCAAAACATTGAAGCACCAAGTCGGCTTTGTGCTTGTCGAGCCACGTTTTTTTCGGCAGATGCCGCGAGTGACGTTGAGGGCTCAGGTTAAACAATGAGAGTCGCTCAGGCGGATGCCTGGGATCCAGTGGGCATTGTCAGACAGTCCCAAGGCCCTGCGAGTCTGCGACCATGTTCACTGAATGTGGCTCAACATTAAAGAGCAGGGAGTCTTTGGTTCCATTTGCCAAAGGTGCCATTTTGGTTCATGTTTTTGAGCCACCGCCAACTGAATGTGACCAGAAATTGGCAGTTTGCCACGTGCTGAGTGGCTGGATATCCTGCACGCCTCCGGCTCAGACCGCCGACATGGCCTGCTTTTCTTTAATATATGTGTCGTGGCCCTAGTGTATTCCCATACCATTCCCCTAGTATGCCCGTATTGCCCGTATTTTTCCCTTAGTGTTCTCCTGGTACTCCCTAAGATTTCCCAAGATTTGCTCTGTATTCTCCTAGTATTCTTCTAATGTTGCCCTAGTATTCCTTATTGTTTTCTTGGTACCCTAGTTTTCTCTCAGTATTGCTTTAATCTGCCCTCAATATTCCCTTAGTATGTCCCCAATATTCTCCTAGTATTCCCCTATCCTCCTAGGCCCCTCGGCATTCCCTTTTATTCCTGGTATTCCGCTTAGTATTCCTCTAGTATTCCTCTATTCTCTTACTCCTAGAATTTGTATTCACCTAGTATTCGTCTAGTATTACTCAGTATTTGTTAGTATTTTCTAGGTATGCCCATAGTATCCCCCCCATTTTGGCCTAGTATTCTCCTACTATTCTCCTAGTATTCTCCTTTGTATTCGATCTGGTATTTCTTATTGTCCCCTCGGTGTTTTCCTAGTATTCCTTAGTATTTTCTCGGTATTCTTGTAGTATTTAGTATACCCTTACTACTTCCTGAGAATTCCCTATTTATTCTGTTCCTCTAGCCCTCGCAGGGAAATTCCTTACTCACTTGGCAAAGGTCCCCCACAAGACACGAATTGGGACAACTCATCTTACCTTCTTTGCTCCTGCTTTCCAGGAATGTATTCTGCTGCTGCTGCTACTGCTGCTGCTACTGCTGAAAGGAGTAGTCTGAAAGGGGCCAAAAGTCCGGCTTCGCGCTCCCAGGAAAAGGTAAGAGGAGGGGCAGGTAAGGAGCAGTTCTTGTGTCAAACACCGCCGTCTGTTGTCGGCGGATTTTAGATGTTCTGGGCGCTTGGTCCAAAAACGCATCTGGAAGACCTTGATTAGATGGGCTTTTGTTGCACATTCGGCCATGGCAGGTGCACTGGAATTGGGCCGGGTGGTCCTTTTGGCTGCGCCGAGTTGGCGAAAAGGCCGGCGTGTCCAGCGGTATTCAACACTCCTGGAGAGACGTGAGGCACTGCGCGCGCACCTCGAATTCTGGCAGCTCTGCGTCTACTCTGGGAGCAGGACTCGCTTCCTAGGCGAGGAGAGCGCTCACGCTGCCTTGATGGTTCCTGGAATTGCCTCATGTTTTGCAGGGCTTCTTAAAAGATCTCGATTTTGCAACCATTTGAAACATGTTGCTTTTTCAACACCAAAAGAAAGGGAAACCACCATTGACAAGTTGCAATGTTCAGGTGAGCCACAATCAAAACCCGGGTAGATGAAGGTTAGGGACGATCCCAGCCATAGCTGCGGATCTCCGCCTCAGTTTTTGAAGCATGGTTCTGGGGATTACGACATTTTTGAATCCCGAATCGGTTTTGAGCAAGTGACCTGAGGTGTTTTTCATGCATCCGGATCCCTGTGCCAGGAAGCTGGGGAGTGCGGAGGCAAGGATCAGCATGTTGAGTGAACAGACTCTAGCTTGAGGGCACAGAGAGAGGGCTCTGAAACCTAATCATAGTTTTTTTTGGCAATTCTAGGTTTATGATTGGATTGCAACATAAATGTTGGTTAGTCTTCCTAGCATGGTTTGAACAGTGCAAACGTGCATCTTTTCTGGCTCTCCGTGATTTGCGCACATGTGCCTTGTAGGTATCTGTGCCGGAGTTTGGGAATGAGAAAGAAGAGGCGAATGCAAAGGAGAAAGAAGAGAAGGAGCCAAAGGAAGAGAAGAAAGACAAGAGAACGAAAGGCAAGAAAGAGAAGAAAGAGAAAGAAGAGAAGTCAGAGAAGGCGAACAAGGCAGAGAAGAAAGATAAGGAGAAGGAGGAGAAAGGGGAGAAGCAGGAGAAGAAGAAGGAGAACGTGGAGAAGGAGGAGAAGGAGGAGACAGAGGAGACAAAGGAGGCGGAAGAGAAAGAGGAGAAGGTGGAGAACGTGGAAAAGGTGCAGAACGAGGAGAAGGAGGAGGCGAAGGAAGAGGCAAAGGAAGAGGCAAAGGAAGAGGCGGAGGAAGAGGTGAAGGAAGAGAAGGAAGAGAAGGAAGAGAAGGAAGAGACGGAGGAGGAGAAGGAACAGGAGGAAGAGGAGATGGAAAAGAAGGATGAGGAAGAGGCAAAGGAAGAGTCGAAGGAAGAGGCGCAGAACGAGGAGGAGAAGGAAGATGATAAGGAAGAGACGGAAGACACAATGGATGATGACGCGGAGAAAAAAGAGACTCAGGAAG